CTCGCCGGCAGCCCCCCCCCCCCCCGGGAAAGCCCCCCCCCCCCCCCCCCCCCCCAACCGGGACCCCCCCCCCCCCCAAATGCACACCTAGAGCTGGGAAACCGCGCCCGCGTTCCTCGCCGGCAGCCCCCCCCCCCCCCGGGAAAGGCCTCTCCCGCCTCAGTCCGGCCAAAGCGGGACCTCGTCGCCAGCCCGGCCATAGCCGCTCGCAGAGCCCGAGCGATCCGACCCGGCAGCTGCCCCCCTAGCCTGGCGGGGGCCCCTCGCTCGCTCGAAAACCAGCTAGATTAGCCCATCTATTTAAATACGCAGAGACGTCTCGGGCTACGTCTCGGGCCCCATGATTCCGAAGGGGAATCACGCCGGCTGTGAGCGATGGGGAGGGTAGTCCAGTTGATTGTGGGCTGGGGTCCGCAATCGGGGCGAGGCGAGCAAACGTGGGGGTCCCCCCCCTTTTCCTTCCCAGTGCCTTCTTCCCCTTCGGCGCCGTCCTTTGGGTGGGGGCCTCCGAGACCAGAGAGACGCTTCTTTCATAACCATCCTCCCCCCGCCCCGCAAGAACCTATTTTTAATTTGCAGGACCGACGGAACCATCAGTTCCTCCGCGCTGCCGGCACCACGGAGACCGCCGGCTTCATGCGCTTTGGCCGGGGGAGGGCGATCCCGGAGCCCGCTTGGCCCCCTCCCAATTATTGTCGGCCTAAAACCATCCCGGCTACCTGGGGATGATGAGCGAAAGGGGAAGAGCCCCGGCCCCCTCCCTGCGCTCGCCCCCCGCCCCGGCCTCCAAGGTCATTTTCTCTCCCGCCTCTGCCGCCGCCTCAACGGCTTTCTTCCTCCGGGCAGCCCCGGCCGTGGCGGAGCATCGCCTCGGGGACCGTCCCGCAATCCTGCACCAGCCAGGGCCGGAGCGCTCCCGCAGGGCGAGCCCGCAGGGGGAAGGGGCTCCAAGGCGCGGGAGAAGCCGCACGCGGGCGGAGGGAGGCCAAGGTTTCCCAGGACAAAATGGCTACACGACGGGAGAAACGGCGCTGGCATCCCCCGCGGCCGGCCTCGACGCCCCCAGCCCTCCTTTGGCTCACCTCACTCCCGCGGTACCCGGCCCGTTCGCAGCCAGGCAAGCGCTCGCTCCCCCCGCCGCCGCCGCCGCCGCCGCACGCTGCTGCTGCTGCTGCAACCGCCTAAGAGACGCAGGGGGGGCAGCGGCGGCGGCGGAGCTAGAGCGCTAAGACTGCTGCGCCCCTCCACTCACGGGAGAGTCCATTGTGGCACGGAGGGGAAGGGGACGGGGACGACAGCCCGGCCGGAGCAGGACTGGGCTGCGTCGGGGTCCCGCTTTCCTCGCCTCCCAGCTGAGCCCCTCTCAGCCCTGCGCCCCGAGAGAGGGAAAGCGGTCCGAGGAAGGCAAAGGAGGCGACTTACCCGAGTCCCCGCTTGCGCTGTTTCTTCTCTTGCGCTTCTTCCAAGCAAGCTTCTTTAAAAGGCAGCCGCCAGGCGAGTGGCTGGAGGACGAAACCGAGTCACGCCAGCCAGCAACCCTGGAACAGCAGCGATGCTCTGCCCTGCGGGGGTCTCCCCCCCCTCTTTCGCGACCCTCTTTTTCTTTACATCACCAGTTTCTGGCCAAAGGACCCTCCTCCCATAAGCCAATGGCCCTCTGGTCTCTGGGCACCGTAACCCCAACCCAGCAGTGTGGAAGGGCTTTCACGGGTCAGGCTCTTCCCTTGGTCTGGAGCACCCTCCAAGGGCCCTCAGCTGCTGCAGAAATGCCCGAGGGTACCTGGGCTTTGTCTGGAGCAAGTCACAGCCCCCAGCTCAGGCTGGCAGCTTGCCTGAGGTGGGTGGGGCAGCTTTGATCATGGTGCCAGAAGGGGGCCAAGACTGGCTGAGGGTCTGGGAGAAGTCCTGGATGGAGGTGCACAGATGGCGGGCACTCTGTCAGGGCGAGGCCGCCCTGCGTATCCCACAGGTGGTGGTGGGGGTCTTGCTGCCCAGAAGTGAAGTGCATCTTAGTGGAAGGGAGATGCCCCGAGATGGGTGGTGGGGGGGGGAGGGAGAGGAGGGAGCTAAAGGTCAGAAGCCAGGAGGAGGGTGGATCCTCTGGCTTTAATTCCTTTCATGTCCTTCCCACATGTGGCCAAAGGAAAATCTGCACTTCCAGAGAGAGAGATTCCGGGATGCCCTCTGAAGCCGCCTGTTTTGCATCTAGGAAAGGGCTTGTCTCTTTTCTCTCCCCCGGGGGGCATCACTGGCCCAGGCCCAACCCAAGTAGGGAGGGAATTGCTGCACAATCCGCCCCCTGGGCCACCCAGGAGGTCCCCACCGGATGCTCCCCCCTCCCGGATCTTGGCCTGCTTATCCCACACCCTTGGGAGGCGCCGGGGGCCTCTTTGCAAAGCAGCAGAGTCCTCTCCGCTCCTCTTCCAGGACAGACCTAGTTCACACACACACACAAGATATTGTTCAGAGTTGGTTGTTGTGAGCCCATCTGAAAGAAGACCCAGGAGCTGCCAGGATCCCTACGCCTGCTGCTGCCCAAATGAGCTGCCAGGTACGTGCGCTGCTGGTGGGCACACCGGATGCCTAGAAATAGGCTCAGCATGCACTGCAGTGTTTGTGCCAGAGTTGTGACCTCTAGTGGCGGCAAGATCCTAACAATTGTGTGCTTGGCTTGGCTTTGTTTTTCAAGATGTGGCTCAGAGCAAAGAGAAATTGGCGGGATGCTATTCAATGTTCGTTTGGGTATTTAAGAAACGTTAAACTGAAGATAAAGCTTTATTACTGCAGCCGATCAGACTCCTTCAGCACGCTTGGCTGAAACAGGCAAGCTTCCATCTATTTACTCTGAGCCTCAGTTCATCCCTTTATCTTTCTGGCCGGAGAGCTTAAGAAAAGGGTGAACTATTCAGAAAACTGCCCCTTGGAAATGTTTTTCAGAGAGGTCCAAGTCCATTTCTCACATCAACTGTCTTCTTCCAATCTCACCCATTCCTCCCAATAAATGCTATTAAAAACATGTGTTTCACTAAAAAATATATACTACTGTATATTAGCAGGTCACTCCTTTGACATTTTCCAAAAGTATGTCAGTTCTTTGTAAAAAAAAACCAAAACCCTAAAAGCCTGAAATTTAGAGATTCTGCAAAAAATAGAACACATCCTGGTCTCACTCCCCAAGACACAACAACCAGGGATTAAAATATGTGTGAGTTTTATCTGCTTGAAAAAGGATGTGTAGAGAGTACAGAGACAGCATTAAGCCTGAATGCAGCACTGTTGTGAGGTGTTAATTTTCCTTACCAGGATATTTTTTAACATTCAGAATGTGGGATAATTATCAGTTCTTTGCCTGTGATCACACTGACTATGTGGGAACCAAGAAAGCTTCATAGATTTTACACCATTCTTTCTGGGTACACCAGTGGAACCCACCCCTATCCTTCGGCCCCACTCCAACCTAGCAGGCCACTTTCATCCCAGTCTTACTCTCAGGAAGGATCATCTGCATCTTGTCAACTAAGTCAATCCCTGTTATTTTTGTATTGACGGCCTTATCTGTCTCTGGGGTTTTTTCAGACTTCAGTTTGGCATCTTGGTTAAGGCCTTCTGGAAGGTGGCTATGGTTGGGTTCAAGTGGTGGTTCACAGCTCCTTGCAGAGAGGATGTCACTCTGCAAACTGATTCAGGGCACACGAGATCTAGTTGTAAGAATGGGTTGTTTTGCACGGGTTTCCTCCTCCCACAGTCAGCGGTCATAAAGGGAAGGACAACCCTATATACTCTGGCCCAAACTAACACCATGTTTAACCACTGCATGAACTTTTACTATAAAAAATAGCAAGAGGCACGGACTGTTTTCTGGGAATGCAGGCAGGTGGCAATGCCAGGTGTAGACAATGAGGAATTTCCAGGTATGGCATCTCACTGATACACTGGCTTCTCACCCATCTTATTCTGTGCACAACTATAAAAGGTTTACAAGCCAGCCCCTTGCCGTGGCAGAATACAGCGCACCTACTTACTGTTGAAATATTTATCCATATAATAAAGCTTGTGAGGATCATGTTGGCTTTCAGCTCCTCCTCCTTGAAATCTCTCGTGGCCACTGTGCCTGGAAGGCATGTACATCTGTGCATCAAGAACTCCCCATCCCCAATTTTAAACATTCAGTAAGGTAATAGCAGCATAGTAATCTGATAGCTGGGAGGGGGGGGTATGGCACTTGGAAAGCCCAACCTGTCCTACTGAATTGGATGCTCTCCCTACCCAATACACTAACCTCCCTGCTGGGAGGAGCCGAGCCCCTTCCAACTCCGTGAGGGCAGCCATAGACAAAGAAAGTCATTACAGAAAACCTTCTCATTTTTTATTTCAAAACAGCAGTTTTTCAGTTGGATTTCACAGGCTCATTAAAAAAAGGGAAAAGTGAAAAACCAGCTTTTATTTACGGGAACACGGAATAACCGGGATGCCTCAATGCTGCTAAAGACATGACCATGTTTTTCATCACTGAAGCAGAGGGAGATTCTGCTTGCTGGAATGTTTGCCCCCCCCCCCCCCCAAAAAAAAAAAAAAAAAAAAAAG